GTACTATTGTATTGTAGGCTTAATACAACTGTGTTCCTTGTACTATTGTATTGTAGGCTTAATACAACTGTGTTCCTTGTACTATTGTATTGTAGTAGCTCCAAGCTGGACCAACTGGACAACAGAGAAGAACTGTGCTGCTAAATGCTGTGCTACGGGCGGAACAGTAACCCAGTACCGCGCATGTACTAAAGGGTCAATAACGCTGACATCTGCTGTTCCTTGTAATGGTAATTTATCACAGATCGTGGATTGTTGGGGTGCATGTGATTGTTCCTCAGGTGAGTCTCACCAAGATACTTGTCCATTGATTGGCTGCTTGTGGTTATGTCTGGAGTTGTGTTCTTATGTGACGTCATAGCCGCCATGTTGGTGGACTTTGACAAAAGATTCTTAAATGTTTTTKTTGTTGTCATCCAACATGGCGGCCACATCATGTTATATTTCATTCTCGTGGTAATAATTGCAACTCGCCACCTACAAGAATCGTTGATTATTATTTAGGTTCGATGTTCATCGCTGAACGTATAGTTGCTGTAGGATGCGTGGTCCTGGGACTAGTCATCAACCTACTGTAAGTAAAACCTTAGAGTGTTTAATCCGTGACGTCACGACACGGTCACGGCACACGACATCTGTTGAACCAATCACAGAGTGCAAGATTACTGACACAAAGAACTAAATCCGTGACGTCATTGTACGGTCACGGTACACGACATCTGTTGAAACATCTCTTGAACCAATCACAACGTGCGAGACAAATAACCAAATCCGTTACGTCACGGCAGGGCACGGCATCGATGTCTATGTCGGGTATTTTACAAATCATGTAATATAGGACTGTGGACACTGTATACCAGGTATAAAGAAAAGAGTTCCGTGTGAACGAGTGTGTTTTTATTTTATCTTTCAGATATGCTGGATAAACTCATCTGTCCTCCTGTCATTCGTCACCAAGAAACTTAGACCCAGTCTCTACCTCCTGGGAACTGGGAACTATACCTTGATATAATCTCGCGACAGTGAAAAACGAACTATGTAGTATACGAGTAGAATATTTCAATATTTATATCAGATTGAAGAATCTTTGTCATGTTTAGTAAAGGTCCTTCCTATTACATAATAATAATAATCATCACTGTCACTCATCATTCATCACTGTCACTCA